TTTGAGTCAAAAAACTTCATCTAATACACGGGAAAATACGGTAATACCAAGCCAGGATTCTGTGATATTGAAAGCAGATGCTAGTTGTACAGGGACAGACAACAAGAAGGGTAACAGGTAACGTTCTAGCTCATGTAGATAGTACTAGCTACGGTTTATGAAAGGGCTGTGTGAAGGACCATAAGGCACAATCCTATTAGCTTATTATTAAGGCAACATATGACCATCCGAATGTACTTTACAGGAGTTGCCTGCTTTGGATAAACTGAGTCCAGCCTGCTCAGGAACGAGCACACCACGCAGCAATATGCTTGTATCACATAGTCCAATGAGTCCAGAGAGTATCAAGATGGTGCATCGCCACAGGTATTTATCTACCTAAGAAAGGTCTTTCTATACTAAGGTTACCAGATTTTTTTCAATGAATCCGGGGACACTTTTCAACTTCAATGAATTTTGTATGGGGACTGATTTGTGTATCTGGAGACTGTCCCCGGGAAATGGGGACGTCTGGTAAGCTTATTCTATACCAGTCTTTTCAACTGATGTCTAAAGCATAGTAGCTCATGTAGCTACTGTGTATAGATTCTGGGAGGTGCTTTAGGTCTACTCAAAGTTATAGGAATAAGTAAAACCCACCTTTATATTAACTTATCTGGGCAACGAATCATTTGTGAAAGGGTGATCATTCTGTGTTAGTCTTTAATATGCTTTAGCAGCTAATATGTAAAGGTCTTGAAACAACTTCAGAATTCAGGGGATGCCTACCTAAGAGAAACATGGAAGTATGAAAACAAGCTAAAATCCACACAGTTGAAATTGTGTGGTGGAGATGTTTTTCATTCTTCAAGCAATTTTAATTTCTAAACCTTAAGTATTGTGGTGGAAATGATTTTATGAGGATGGTTATAAAAGCCTCCATTCTTTGTTGCTTCAGCTGTTAAAATTTGCTAACCTTTTTCCTGCTTCTTTGCCACCAATTTTTCATTTAATAAATGGTTGCAATATCCAGTATTAGCTGATACAGAAACTGCTAATGGCAGTAGCGTTATCTGAAAAAGTATTTTTAAAACCATCAAAATTTGGTAGCAGACTTGTTTACAGTTTTATCAGTTGCCTCTTCATCCTGCCCAAAGCAGGGGTCCTGGAAATGTGGCTCTAGCCATGGAATTCATAGTAAGATACTGTTATGGCATCATTTTGTATCAAATGTATTTTTAATGCAGATACAAAACTATGCATTGAAAAACATACAATATAAATAATTTCATGGGTCGTGAAATAGTGGTTGATGAACACTTGACTATCCCTCAAAATGCAGATGATTTCCCCAAATATTTACAAATCCAAAACAACAGAATTTGTGTGGGTCAGAGAGCTCACTAGTTCCATGTGCATCTTAAATTGATGCAACTATGAAAAAGTATGACAATTGGACATTAAATTATACATTAGTGCTTACTGAGTTTGTATATGTTTATTGTGTTCTTTATTTATTTTAGGTGATTGTCGTTTTTCTTCTCTGCTGTTGAAAGCTATTTCGAACAAATGGTAGAAAAGCAGGATATAAATATTTTACAGAAATAAATATTTGAATAGATAGAAGAGACACAGGAACAGCCACTTAGGTCAACGTGAATTTACAATTTGACTTCTGGCACTAAAAAAATAAGTGGTTTTTCTGATATGTTCTAACATTTCTTGACAAATGGCTAACTTGCTCTGCAGCTGGGCAAAATGTGAAAGTCCTTGTTTAATATAGTGATGGGCCTTATCTAACTGAAAATGTACAGACACAGAAAGGCTTGTCTGTGCATGTTACTTCAATATGTTTTGAGGTACTGAAACAGTAGCTTCCAGTGAACGAGATGCATTTTTTAAATAAATATTTCTGATTAAAACAAAATATTATTTTATCTTACTGTTCTCTGTTCTCCATAGCCCATTGAATATGCTGGGCACAGTCCGACACTCGTCATCTTCTCTTTCTTCCCATACATCAAGTGAAACAGGGAATCTGGTTATTCTAACAGACAGTTCTGTCGGAGAAACAGCAGAGGATATGTACCACATGCAGGTACGACTGTAACTCATCGGGAATATGCAGTGTTAAAGATGATTTTAGGATGCATTTAAGCAGGGCTGTCTTAAGCATATGCGGCGCCGGGGTGCAAAGACCCGCCTGCCCCCCCCCGGTTGCCCAGTCCCAGGCGCACAGCAGGGCAGAGCCAGCCAGCCGCCTCAGCGTCTCACTGGCTCAGTCGCCCCCGAACTCGCAATGCAGAGCTGCCCGCAGCAGAAGAGCCCACTACGGCGCTCCAACCAATGGGTGGGCTCTTCCCCGGACTCAACTCTCAGGCCCTGGACTCTCAGCCTGGTGCCCCTGAGAGCCTGGCGCCCGGGTGCCCCACACCCCTAGGTCCTATGGGTAAAACGGCCCTGCATTTAAGATCTCGGTCAGTACTAAGATCTACTCAGTACTTGTACACATTGCTAGAATAATATAGGGCCTTACAGACTGAGGAAATCAAATCTTACCTCTGTCATGAACTCACTTGCTGGCTTTAGGCAAGTCACCCTCTCTCAGCCTTCCTCCTACATCTACAACATGAGAATAACAACAACACTCATTTCCTTACAAGGTTGGTATAAAGATTACATGAAAATAATATGAAACACTTGACACACTCTGAAATACTTTAAAATGCTAGGTATTTTATTATTAAATTATATTTAAGTTTACTTAGACAATTTTTAATGTTAGCTGGGTGAAAACCCCATTGTACTAGTGAGGGCACTTGCACTGGCTTCCACTGGGTGGGACGTGTTGGTTAAATCCTGCCCTAAGAATCTAATCACCAATATCTGTTTTTTCTTTCCTAGGCCAGTCCTTCCACCTCAAGCCTGAGCTCTACCCATTCTGCACCATCCCAGATGATTAACTCTGCACCTCCTAGCGCACGGGGTAAGAATGAGCCAAGGTTCTACAAATTGCTATGATGTTTGCCCTTTAAAATTCTAGATTGTACATTGAATTGCTTCCTTGCTTAAAATAAGCGATAGCTTCATTATTGCAACAATGAATTATTCAAGACTGTCTTCTACAATGTCCCAATTAAGTGTGTCATCTTTTCAGAACAGTTTGGTATACTTTCTCTCTGGTATAAAATTTATTTTAAGACAATTTAACTGTGTGTTTCCAATGGGCTGCCCAAGCATTGAGCCCATTCACTTAAATTCATTCTGCTGCTTGTACGAGTTGTTTCATTTCTAAAGCAAACAGTCTGAGAAACAGCACTGAAAACAGCAACCACATGAGGACAAAAGTAAATACCAGGCAGGTCTCAAAGGAAAAGAAATCAGGATGAAGAAACATAGCGTATAGAATCTTACTTGGAACAAGGTGTACAAAATTTTCCTGAGTTACAAATGAAGAAAGGGAGAGAGAAAATATCTGAAACAGCTTTCACTTCCTAGTATTTCCTTTTTCTAAAAGACACTATGCAAAGTTGGTTGTTTCTTCTCTTCACAAGTCACAGGGACTCTCCCAACCCCCACCTGTGGCCTCTCTAGAACTGGGTGCCAAATTATTGCTTAGAGACTCTCAAACCAAATTGCACTGCTGTTTGTGTATGCTGCAGAACAACAGAACTTCCCTGTCCACTTATTTTTGGTGAATCCATTTCTGTAGAGCTCAAATATCCTTGGCAGTAGTGATACAATGGAAGTAGCAATATCTCAGTAGTAGAACACATACTTTTTTGTGCAAAAGGTCGCAGGTTTATCAATAGTTAAAAGATCTCTGGTAGGGAGAGGGGAGAAGGGGACTCCGTGTGGAACACATGTTTTACATGCTGAAGGTGCAAGATTAAATCCATGACTTCTCCAATTAAAAATTGTTCTCAAGAAGTAGGGTTGGAAAATATTGTCTGCCAGAGGCCCTGGAAAGTTACTGTCAATCAGAAGAGACTACACTGGGCTAGATAGATGGGTGATATGACTCAGCATACTGCAGCTTTATATACAGCAGAAAAGATGGCGTGGAGACAGCTGGGGTGCTTCATATGTTCAGTGAAGTCTTTTTCATTATTGTATCTGTTGCACCAAGTTGAAGATCATAGTACTATATATAAGTACAAATATTTTTATAATTACCAAAGTTGGTGGGAAAGCAGTTGTGTTCAAAGCTGAATAAAGAAGGTAAAGGTGGTAACCGTTGTCAGGAAAATGGTTATGTGATTGTACTGCTTTAGGGTCAACTGGGTCTGCTAATTGTGTCTCTATGAAGTATGCACTTTGGGGAGGAAAAATATGGTATGGTGGTCCTTGCATCATTTCACAGTACTCATAGTATCTGTGATACTGTGGATATCCAGCTTTCTGAGCTGCCATTTGACTTCTCAACAGCATTTCCTGCATCTAGAATCTCTACCAGTTCTTAGAGACAAATGAGGTGATGTATGTTAAAGGACAACCAGTTAATAAGTAATACATCATTTCCTGTTAGCAAATATATATTTGAACAAGCACTGTCATATCTACATGTGATTTCTGTTTTTGACCATTTCTGATCATTTTCGGAAACTTCATTTATTCTTGGACAAATTTCTTAAACTAATTGAATTAATTTTCTTAAATTAATGGAGAAGTTGTTTGGAATTCCATGAATCGCACACTAGAAAAAGAAAGCCCCAAATCTTCTTGATACTTCACAGTATGTGAATTATTAATTTAATTGTTGTGAAACTTCCAATGGGGATGAAATTGTTTTGCAGAAAATAAGCCTGGTGGTATTGAAAATAACATGGGATTTATTTATTTGCGTACATTTCCCCCCCATTTTGATAAGTTTTATTCTATGGAAATGAGAGATTGACAAGCATTGGCGCTAAAGCAAGCTGCAGTGCAAAATTCACATGCCTAGCTCTGCCAATATGCTTCAATCCTTTTTTATGTTTATTTATATTCTTTTTAATTTAGTGCTGATGAAAGGTGCTGGATTGACAACACTGGAGGCTGAAGCCCTCTATTTATCCACAGAACAGATACAGCACGGGCGGCAGCAGTGCAGGCTTCCCCACACTGCCCCCACCAATGTGCCTCATCTCTGTCCTGGAGGAACCACCTCTAGAGGTGAGAGGATAGATTGGTCTCCATGACCCATACAGTCCTTGGCCTTTCTGTTCAGATTGCCAACAGAGTTACCAGCTTGTAGTGGCAGACTTAGACACCCTTCAGCCAGGAAGTGCACCAAGTTCATCAGTGTGTTTCACTGCAGCTATTTGGCAGTGATAGGTTCCACACTGATGTGAGGAGTTGTACTGGAACCTCGATTTACTGAATGATGACTAACTTGCACTCTTCAGGGTTCAAAGCTTGTCTTAGAAATGAGAAAAGAGTTGCCCAAACTTTAGCAGCTTTGATTTCAGTCAATAGTCTGATTTCCAGCTAAACCTCCTATATTCTTATTCATGAGCTGAGATCTAACTGAACTGAGATGCAGCTATAATTTGAATATCTAGATAAGCCTCCCATTCATATGGCTCTGATTTTTGTTTTGTTTTTATAGATAAACTATTGTATAATATAGCAAAGCTTGTTTTGTTCACAGTGAACAGTACAACTCAAATATAACTAACACAAAAAGTAAAAATAATCAGCTGAAATGTCTCGCAGCTTGTCTCTGAAAAACGTACACATGTATTTTCATTTTGAAATGATAAACATTTGTAGGAATATGCTGCCTTCTTAACTTGGTACAGTACTATGTCATAAAGCACCTTTTGAGAGGTTAGTAGACACATTACGGGGCTCTGCTCCATGTATGAGCTGATTTATCTTCATTGTTAAGGCCAATTTAAATATTATTTTAAGCATTGTAGATATGAGAATCACTTACACACTTCTGTCAGTCCGTCCTCCAATACTGCCACTTCTCAATTGTTGATATAAATATATCATACATGGTCAGATTCATATTCTTAAGATTTTATTTCCAAACACAGCTCTGATCATGGTCTTTTTGGAGAAGAGCATTAGGGTAAACATTACACAGTGTATCATTGGCTGTAATATAGTACAAGCTGTATTTGTGAAAGCTTCCACCTTGTCATTACATAGCTATAAACACACAAATTAGCTGCAAACGTTGGTCTTGTTCATAGATAAAAGCAGAGCACAATGTCCACTTCTGGATGCTAGCTGTTAACAGGCTTAGGGCCAGTTTACCCTTCAAGGAGCTGTGTTCGCTGCATGAATACATTGACGTGTGAAGGGGAGATGTGTATCTCTCACCAAGTATTCAATCTGGATGTTTGCCAGATAGACACTAGCTGTCATTTCCTTAGATTATGTCTATCACATTTCTCAGCCTGGAGAGAATACAAAAGCCTCCCAAGTAAATATACTTAAAAGACCATTTGGAGCCTATATTTAGTTGTGCTTAGTGCGTTTTGAAGGTGGTCCCCTGCTGTGAACTCATAGTAGGAGCTGTCAGGTCAATGTTGCTGTTTAGTTTAGACTTCTCCTTTTCTCTGCTTGGACGGCAAGTCACAGCTGTTTAATCAGCACTGAATAATAATAGCATTTAAACATTGGACTTTGATGTTAAAACAAGCTCCTAGAAGGTTTCAGCAAAGATGAACAAATCAGTTCATATTTGGGTTACATGCAAATTATTTAGAAATATCAGCAGTGCAGTCTTCTGCATGTTTACTCAGAAATAAGTCTTATATTGAATGGTACTTACTCTCAGGTAAGTGTGCATTGGATTACAACTTTAGAATTTATAGTAATTCACAATACTTTTATGAGATACCACAAGATTGGTTCTTTAATTTGTGACAGTCCAACATACTACCCCACTCAAAGTTAGTATTTATATGGCACTTTTTCATAGTAGTTAAAGTAATTCATATATAATATTATGGCAGTAATTCTTATATCACTCTGTAAAGTGGGTGTGAGGATCCTGTGGCCCTCTAGATGTTGCTGGAAGCCATGCAAGTTGTAGTTCAACAGTATATGGGGAGCCAAAGGTTCCCTACTCCTGCTGTAAAGTAAACCATCATTTCACCTACATTGCATGACAGGGTAGTGGGAATTTAGACTGAGATAGTGGATTGTCACAGCGTCACATGACAAGGGCATTGCCCATCCCATTGGCTCCAGCATCCCATGATGCAAATAGGCAGCTCTAAAAAATTCAGTCTTTGTTGTAATTTATACTGCATTTCTTTCCTCAAGATCCCTGTGATGAGACTTGCCAGTTCTCCATACGCTTTGTTTTCCCTTCTGAAAAATCAGTTCAGGTTGAGAGTAATATGTTCTGATGGAAATTATTACCAATGAACATCATAGGCATCCCCGGTACAACGTGGTTTTACAAACAGTGACACTGAAGTTCAATTTTGAGTGGTAATCCCGCAACAGATCTTGCTCTTGTGAAAGGTTTCATGTTATTCTCCTGCAAGACTTTTGAGAAGAACTGTGATTGCACAGCTGCATCACTCAAAGCCTTCTCTTAATAAATGAAAACACAGTGGATTGTAGCCAGTGCTGTCCTTACATTTACAGAAAGCTGTTTGATCCAGTGGGAATTTCTAAGAACGTAAGGGAGGGAGGGGATTTTTTTCTTATTTCCTCTTTCACTCCCAGTGCTCCCTTCCAGTCTGCTCTAGGGGCTTAGGGTACACACTTGAACAGTGCAGGACATGATATGGGGGCTGCAAGGGAAAGGGGACATTTAGGGGAATTACCTCCCTCCCCATTCTATGCATGGAAGTCTTTGAGGGATCAAATCACCTTTTGTGAATAGAAGGACACCACTGGATACAACTCACAGTCAGGCTAGTATCCTTTTTAGCACATCTATGGTTAGGGAGGAGTAGACTCACTGTTCCTCAGTGGAGAGACCATATACTTCCAGTTATTAAGTTTTGAGGAACAAACAAGGGAAGGTTCTTGTTCTCGTGTCCTCCTTTTGGACTTTTTAGGGAATCTGATTTCCCATTGGTGCAGGGAAATGGTGGGTTTTCGGCGTTTGAGTATCAAGGTACCACTGTACTTCAAAGGCAGAGCACACCATTCCAAATGTGGGACTGCTGCTCTTTTGCTGCATATTTGCTGTAATCATGTCATCTGAAATACACACTTCGGATGTGCACATGTATGCATTGTGTAAAGAAGCACTAGACTAATGGGCTTTCAGCAGGTCAGTTGCATATTTTGAAGTTGTCCATAAGCTCCTGAATGAAACAACAAACACAGCCACCACCATGATACCCTACCTGCAGATAGACATATTAACAAACAAACAAAAAAGAGTGGATGTATGACTTTTAGTCTACCAAGATACTATTCCGACAAGCTTGGCTGAACAGGTAGAATTTCCAAAGATCTGACAGTTACAAATAAGTAACGTGCATTTTACACAATTTTCTTTAACTTTTAAAAGGAGCTTTTGACAAATACTGCCCTCTGTTGATGACTTGAAGTCACATAATTAATAGAAAAGCTTTCAGGAAACAACTGTTGTCAACCATGTTAGATGAGCAGCAAAGGTATTGTTTTCATGTGTTTTTCCAAATTGATGGTACTCAACAGCTTCATCTATATTTCTAGGATAAATTGAGGAATATATTTTAAAAGGAGGAAATCAGCAATGTGCTTTGTGCCATAATACATTTACTGGTGCTCCTAAAAGATCAGTATTTTATATTTTGTGATGCAGAAGTAGGACTATCTGTGATATGTATGTGAGCAAAAGAGACAGTATAAAACATTAATGCTTACCTAAATGAACATTGTGAATGATAGGATGGTCAGATTATTTGTGTTCTGTGTTTGTGGTGAAAACATTTAATCATACAGTGGATTTTGAATTTCTTTGAGCTTAATAACTTGAGGGAAACTCTAGAAAGTGTGAAGGTTTCTCCTGTACTGCTAACTATATTGTTTCTTCCTTTTGTGCAAAATCTCAGTCTATGACCTGCATGCCATGCTTCCGTTCATGTGAAATCTGTACCAACTAGAAATAACACTTGTGTTTAATATTATTTGTGTGTGGTCAGATATTATTTGTGTGGCCATAGAAAGTTTGCAGAGGGGACCATGTGCATCAGATTCTGCACATTAATACATCCAGTAGGGGAGATAGTTTCCATTGCTATCATTACCTTAGGCAGCTGTGCATTTCAACCAGTACCATAATGAGTAGGATTTCCCCCATCAAAGATCATAATGCACTGATACACTATGCAGTGCCCAAACAAACATTCATCAAAATGGCAATATATGTCAATAGGAATCAAAACCCTTATGGGATAGAGATCTATTGAGAAGCTCTGTGTTCTCATATTCTCATACTAAGCATAACTGCTTGTTAATTACACAGTTTGTGGAAGCACGCTTCTTATGTTCTTACACCAGCAGTGTAAGAATGGATCTACCAAAGGCAGTTTTATTTTGGTAACATGGGGCTTTCAGAATGCATTCATTGACCTGCTAAGCGGTATGCTACAGACCCAGCAGCTTGTCTGTGTTGCTGTTTTTGTTATGCGCTGAACACTAGAGCAGTGATTCCTGTGTGCCAGTTAAGCTCATTTCCATTGTACGCTAAAATGTTATGTTTCATAGTTGTGACTCATACATCTTAGGAAGACTAGGGGACTGGGCCAAAGAGCATCTCTGTTGTGTTTTGTCATGTGTACGTGATTGTTCTCACTTGTTTACAGGCTCTCCCTCTCTACCAGATAAGTATCGTCATAATCGGGAGCTGATGATGTTATTACCGATGCACCGAGACCGACCTAGCAGTGCCATGTACCCTGCAGCTATCATGGAAAATGGACAGGTAACGATTTCAGTATTGCTGTTTTTTCTGAATGTGCCAGGACATGAAATTAGCAAACAGATCCATTTTCTGGACAGGAAAGGACAAATGTTTTGGAAATGGGAACTAATGAGAAGGAGGAACTTGCAGGTTACCTTACTTGGCAGGATAACTGTCCCCAGTCAGCTAGCCCACCTTTCCTGTCTGTCTTCCCTTCAGACAAAGAGAGCGGGGGGGAAAGAAAGGGGTTCTGAATCCCATAGCTAGGATTCATGTGGGTGAGGTGAGTCAGGAAGGGAGATGGCTTTAGTGATTCCTGGCCAAAGGAGTAGCAGAGTACCCAGCTGG